TCCAGTCTTTTATGGCAGTAGTTAGATTAAGTTCTGGTGATGGGGCCTCTGGTGGTCTAGTGGTTAGGGTGCAGGACTCTCACCGCTGCGACCCGGGTTCGATTCCCAGCCCCCCGGGCAGATGGAGCTCGTCAGCCCTGTAAGGCAATCCATCTAAGAGAAGGTCACTCTAAACAAACCTACGTTCTGAGACCCTCACTGCCACTGTCCAAGCTTGCTTGGCCCCGGCAGATGAACCTCAGGATTAAAGGGTGGGCTCAGTTCAGCGCACGCTGTGTCTCACCTAAAAAAAAATCCACTGTGCAGGTTCGAAGGGTTAATGACCTTTCCCAAATCTTCGCTCGCGAAGACTGGCCATTAGATTAAGTTCTAGTTGGTCTTTGACCCTTTTAATTTTCTCCCTGCATAACCTCACAACATCCTTGTAGTCTTCCTGATTTGCCTGCCCCTTCTTCCAAAGGTCATAAACTCTCCTGTTTTTTCCTGAGTTCCAGACAAAGCTCTCTGTTCAACCAGGCCAGTCTTCTTCCCCAATGGCTCATCTTTTCGCCAATGGGGCAGCCTGCTTCTTTAGGATTTCCTTCTTGAAGAATGTACAGCCTTCCTGGACACCTTTGCCTTTCAGGACTCCCTCACAAGGGAATCTGTCAATCAGTGTCCTGAATATGCCAAAGTCTGCCCTCTGGAATTCCAAAGTCACAGTTCTGCTGAGGCCCATTCTTATTTCTGTGAGAATCAAAAACTGTCATTTCGTGATTGCTATGCCCTAGGCAGCCTCCAACCATCACATCACCCACCAATCTTTCTTGGTTTACAAACAACAGTTCCAGCAAATGCCTTCCCTAGTTTGCTCACTCGCTGTTGTGTCAAGACATTCTCTGCCACACACTCCAGGAACCTCGTAGGCTGTTGTATTTTCATCAAACATCTGGTAAGTTTAAGTCCCTCGTAAGAATAGCTTGTGAGACTTCTCCCAGCTGTTTACAGAATATTTCATCTGCCTCTTCACCTTGGTCGTGTGGTCTGTAATAGACTCCCACCAGGATATCTGCTCTGTCATCTTCCCCCTGAGTCTTACCCATAAACACTCAATTCTATCATCACGATTATTAAGCACTGGATGATCAAAACACTCCCTAACACACAGGGTTACAACATCTCCTCTTCTTCCTTGCCTATGCCACCCGATGAGTTTATAGCCATCCACTGCATCAGTCCAGTTGTGCAAGTCATGCCACCATGATTTTGTAATGTATGCTATGTAATAGTATTCCTGCTGCACAATGGCTTCCAGTTCCTCCTGTTTCTTGCCCATCCTGCATGCATTGGTATGCACGCACTTCAGCTGGGATATTGATCCTGCCACCTTTCTGGTGGGAGAAGCCCTAATCCTTATGTCACCATTCTCAGGCATGTCTGTGGTTCCTCAGGCACATCTGCAGTTCAATAGTCCTCACATCTTTGCTACTGCATCATTTCCATCCCCATCTCTACAGAGACAGCAGAGTGAGGGACCTTGCTAGAATACCATCCCTCAGACAGTAGCATGCTGCCACCAGTCTTATCTCTGGCAGGCCTGGTTTTATCCCTTTTCCCTTCAAATCTAGTCTAAAGATCTCTTAATGGAGTCCTATTAACTCCTGTGCAAACTCCTTTTCCTCCTTTAAGGCAGGTGCACCCTGCCTGTTGCCAGCAAGCCTGATGTGCTGTAAACTAACCCATGATCAAAGAGCCTAAAATTTTGCCAGTGACACCAAGTTCAGAGCCAGGTATTGTTCTGCTGATCTTCCTGTTTCTTTTCTCATCATTCCCTCACTACTGGCAGGACAGAAGAGAATACCAGCTATGTTCCTGATCCCTTAATCAGTCATCCTGGTCTCTTGTTTCACTTGGACAGAGACCAGCAGAGCTGTGAGGCACTTGACTGATTCCCCCTGTTCGCCATTACTAATTGGGTATTGGAGAGCAAAATCCTGAGAGGGGAAGAAAAAGCAACATGAAGGTACCAGTTTCTGTAAATCAGAACGAAGAGGACTGTAAAAGGAGGGAGATAATATGTCCTAAAAGAAGGCCAAAAGGCAGACAGAAAAAAATAATCTCAGCAGCAGCAGCTGAGGATTTTGGCAGACAAAATACCTGCTTTTTTTAGCAGGTTCAAGGATAGTAAAAGAAGAAATAAAATACCAACATTGTTAAATGTCACATGTTTTTTTTTTGTCTATCGTAGCTTGTTATCCTTTGCCTCTTTTGATAGGTCATGCTATTTTGCTGTGTTGTGCAAACAGCAAAAACACTTGGTGATTGTAAGTGATGGGATGTGGAGGTGTCCCTCTATCCCTGCCCTCACCTTTTGTATGTAAAGAATTTGGTATAATAGATGAGCTACTGACACAACTGTAAGTTTAAAATTTAAGTTTGATACTGCCATTTCTGGGATTCTAAGCATAACTTCACAAATTTAATATTCTTTCAACCCGTTTTTTTTTTAGGGAATGTCAGAAAAATCAGCATTAGAGATAATTCTATTGTTATGTATATTCTAATACATATCTAATGCAGACCATTAGACTTTCTTTAACTTTTATAATACTATGTACTTCTCTGTCTGCAAACCCAAAGAGTAAGGAGGTTGCTTTCAGAAAAATTTTGTTTACTTTTTTATTCTTTTTCTGTAGTTGGAGGAGTGGGTTTCTAGAACAAAACTATTGTAAAATTATAACTTAATTCTAATATGTACTTTCTTATAAATGTAAGGTATCATACTTTTAATACCAGAACATTTTATTTTTACAAGTTCTCAGTCAATAACGCTTCCTGTATAATTACTTGGCTTTTTTTTCCCCTTCTCACTCATTTTTTTTGGGGGGGGGGAGGGTGAATTCCTTAGAGATCTTGGGATTATTTCAGCCCTATTTTTTATTTCACATTTTGTATTTTTTTAATATAATATATGATGCAAAATCAATGGTATTCTATTGGATTTTTCCCTCAATATATATTGCACTTTCCTTGTCTGGGTTCAAATAGATTTAATCAAAACATGAAAAGTAATTTTACTGGTATTGGCCCTTTTGATTGTCTCTAGGCTCTATGGTTATGAAATCCATGAAGTTATTAGTTTACTTAGCAAGATAGTTAATTTCAAAATCTGATCTTTCCACTTTACACAAAATAAAGTTCCCATTTATGCTAATAATTGAAGTATAACCCTATCAGAAAGCAACTACCTAATATGGCATCTCTTTTATTAGACAAGGACTCTGTATATACAGACAAGACACAGAATTGATGTGAACCCTGAAGATCTCATAAGCAGTATGAGAGACAGGGGAAGAGAAATGAGAGAGAAGGAAAAGCCAACCTTCAGAGATACCTATAAGCACTGCAGGAGTTCCTGTGCTACTGAGAGAAGAGCCCAGTGATTGTTGCTCCAAAAGAAAAAAAGGATTAAAGGAAGAGCCTGAGGTTTTACAGTGTTTGCTTGTTTTTATGCCCCAAGAGGAAGCAAATGTCTTAGGGGCCAGCTTGGGATGCATTTAACCTTTGCAGAAGGTAGCGTGCCAGGCATTGACTTTCTCCTCTACCCTTTGGCTTTCTGTTCATTCTGGCATGTATTTATGCTTTCTTAGGAAGCATTTTGACAATAGCAACTAAAATATGAGTGACTGCAGTGATAGGAGGCAGAGGCTGAGTAGCATTTAAGAACTACCAGAAATAATTAAAAGCAGAAGAGGAAAGTACCTGTGTGGTGCTGGGGGGCTAAGCGGATACACTGTGGATGCTGTTATTATTGACGTCTGCTAGTTTAGTGTTGTTTTCTTAGCCCTGTCCTTTATTGCCCAAGTAAGTCTGCCTGGCAGTGCCTGGAAGTAAAAAAGTTGCACTGAGATTTTGAATGCTGAATAGTCTTTTTTTTTTTTTTTTTTTTTCTTTTTTTTTTCTTTTTTTTTTCTGTGGGATGGGTTTGTGACAGTCATTCTCTACAATGACTGCAACCTGGCTCACAAGTTCTTTTCTAACTTTTGGTCATTTTAGGAACACTAAAGAAAGAGCAGGGAAGCCGGCTTAGCACTTTTAGCTTCAAAGCCTCCCCAGGGGACTCTAATATTGTCTCAAAAGTCATTCTGAGATTTGAAAGTGAATTTTCAGATATGAGAAAATTGGAGTTCTTAGATCAGTCCCAAGCAAACTAAGCATAAAACTGTCAAGCTTTCTGTACCAAACTTCCATTGCACATGCAGATTTAATTCTGGAAAACTGCCCTTAAGGACGCTGGTGGTTTCTGCCAGTCCTGCCTCTGCTGTTTCTAAAACATTGAAAAACTCAGCCCTTCCCACCTCAACTCGGACTGTAACGTCTCTGTGCAGGTTAGGAAGGAAATAATTGATCTAATTATTTGTTATTTTAAAATATTTATGTGTATGCAACCAGCAAGTGTCAGTACTATATAGACACTAAGGAAATGATAGAGCTGAACACCAGTTAGTGCCATGCAGGGAGAGTGTAAGGAAGCATTTTGAGTTATTCTAGTTGCAATTTTGCCAAGTTGTCAGTTTCCCGAAAAAGCTGGGCAAAGAAATACTCAAATGACAGAGCAGGGAAAAAGTCAAAACAAGTAGGTTGCTAATGGCTTTTTTAGTCTCCAGAAATGGATGTACAGATTCTACTGTGCCCCCTGCTGGGAGAAATTATAGTCAGTCCTGACTCTTCCCATTTCCCAGGACCAGAAGCTATGAAGCACCAGTTGCCTGGCAGGCTGGTGATTATACAGCCCTACAGCTCCGTGTTTGTCCCTAATAGCTGCATTTATAGGACCTAGAGTAAAAAAATTATATGCCAGTCTTATGAGGTAAAAATAACTAGTGGCAGAATGTTTAAGAGACTTCCAGCAAAACTATGTAGGAAATTAAACTTCAGTAGTCCTGGTGCTGCTAGAACAATTTTATCTATTTTTACCTTTGGAAAGCTAATGTAGGAAGAAATATTTAGCAGCATGACAACGTATCATCATGTTTTCCTTAATAGGTCTACCAGTCAGAAGGTGTCTACTGTAGAAGACCATTAATTTAGTAGTAGTATTTCCACTTTGAGAGGAGTAAAAGCATGTCACAAACTGCAGAGAAAAAGTTAAATGAAAGAAACAAATGTTAAGAAAATGCTTTTTCAGTCTTATCCCTATAATGGCATTTGTGGGTGTTGATTTAAAAAAATAATACTGCCAAACTAGCCAAGTGAAAATAACTAGTCAGTACTCCCAGAAAAGGCTGGGTTGGAAATTTATAAGATTTTTAAAGAGATTGCACAGCCTCTATTTACCTGGGCAAATATTCTTCCTGAGTCACATGTTCTGTAAAATAAAGTAACTTCCAAAGTTCAAAATCCTGCCTTAAATACATGTGAGATATTTCCTATAGTTGCTGAAGAAAAATCTTTTAGTCCCCAGCCTTTTCAAAACAAAGAACCTGACTTTTCATCCTCCTAAATATGATTAATGTCTTGCAACATTTTATTTGGTGTTGCCTCTAATTACTTTTCAGTGTATTCTTCTTTGTACCCCTGTATCTCATTTACTTACCTTTTCTTCTCACTTCATGCTCCCAGTGTACATTTTTCCAATGTTTCTTTTGCTTCTCACACCTTCTATCTCTTAGCACCATTTCACAGTGCCCTGTTCAGATCCTCTGTCTTCCCCATAAACAGATAACTCTGGTCTTCATTTTGAAAAGAAAAGAAAAGAAAAGAAAAGAAAAGAAAAGAAAAGAAAAGAAAAGAAAAGAAAAGAAAAGAAAAGGAGAAAAAGAAAACACCTCAGATACAATTTTTAATAATGCCTGTTTACTGAAAATTCAACTCTGCACTAATTTAACACACATAAATGTGTATGGAAATTCTGACTCGGTAAGAAATGCTTTGCTTTTAAGCTAGCAGAGGAATATCAGGATATCAAAGCTCAAAGGCTGCTGATGTAATGTATCAACTAAACTTGCGATAGTTTAATTAATTAATATATGTAACCTGGATGGGGGTTTTTTTTGCAGTCTGAATTTTCAGTTGAACTGTACTAGCTTACAAGTACTAATTTTAAAGAAAAAGTGTTTATCCAGTTGACTTCATCCCTGCAGAAAGTAATGGAAATGCATGGATATTTGGATAGGGAAAAGGAGACTGCTGAGCATCACCAGTTACGTGCCAAAATGTACACACCAAGGTTCATCATTGGTGTTAAAATAAACAAATTATCAAATGGAGCTAAAGAATTTCAATGTCCTGTAAAAAGCTGGAGCCTGTCCAGATGCAAACCATGTGCATTATAATACTAGAGATAATAAAGATTAAAAAAAATTATGATGATGATAATAATAATAATAATGGTAACAGTAATAAAAATAATTTTAAATTCAAGTCAAGATGGAACTCAGAAGCATTTAACCATTTCTCTTTAAAAAGAATTACATAGACTGATAGAGGGATGAGACAAATGACAGCATTTTTGTTGAAGTACACCACTAAAATAGTTAAAATAGTTCAGAACAGAAAAAATTACAAAGCATTTTCTACATACTAAAAGACTATATAAATTTACAGTGGCAGAAGCCCTGCTAGGACTCACTAAAGTTTAAATGGTTACCTTAGCACTTGATTTATGTCATCCATTACCAACTGAGCCTGAGCTGGGGATCAACAGGCTGCTTTGGAGCCCGCTGTTCACTCATAGCTAGTTTAAATGCCATTAGCTCCCAAGAAAGGAATATTTTGAGTCACTGCAACAAAACCTGCTGGTATGATTAGTACTGTTACTGCAGTAATACTCAACCACAGTTCTTTTATAGCACTTAAAAGAACTTTGATACAAAGATCTAAAAAAAGCCAAATCATGACCAAAAGGTAAGAGGTAGACAATGCAAAATCAGCTAGCAGTGGGACTACTGTAATTTTATTATTCTTCCAATACACAAATTTAGTTAGACATTTTTCCCTTGAATTTTAAATTAAGCATGTTTATTTTTCCATTCCTGAGGCAATAGAGAAGATAATGATATGAAATGACTGAAGGGTGAAGATGGGTGAAGACAGAAGAGATTTTAGATAACCAGCAAAACTTTGCACGTCAGAGTTAAGTAAACAATGAGGTTTCTCACAGGTATTTCCGTTTTTATACAGTAGGGACTCTGGTGGAGGCCTGGGAGAACAGGGAGGAGAGGGAGCAGATGAAGCTATAATTTACAGCCTTCATGATATATCTACATTGTCCTTGAATACCAAAGGAGCTGAGAAACTTTCACTGGGCAGCCAAAATCCCTCCTTCAAGCAACTCCCTCTGTTTCCCACTGGTGCTTGGAAACAGGAGGACTTGAGCCCTGGTGCTCTTTGCTAGTCACCACACCCTGTGTCTGATCTTTTCCAATTACTTCTGTGTTACAGTTAGTATTGAATTTATTGTGCTAGGAAACTGTTTGGCTACAGATATGAAATTAATTATGAAATAATTAGGAGAGACATTATTTCATTTCCTTCAAAGTATTCAAAGTATTAAAATGAATGTTAGTTTAGTATTTGAGAAGAAAGGCGACATTTTTATATTAAATAGAGAGTGGCAATTAAAGAACTAGCTACCACCACTAGCACTACCTGACCTCTACAGTCTTACATGGAGACTGTGAGCTAGCTGGCATCACACCTAGTGAGCTCACATGGCAGAAGAGCTTTGTGACAAAACCGTCATTAGCCCTGCACAAACTCAGGCATGCATATTTTCAAGAATGAGAGTGGTCCAAGAACCCCAACTGTCTCAAAATGTCTTCACAGGGGAGATGCTCAAGCTCACTAATCATCTTCATGTCCCTCTGCACTCTTTTCAGTATGTCCACGTCCTTCTTATGATAGGAGTCCCAGAGCGGGATGCAGCACTGCAGGTGGGATCTCATGAGATCAGAGTTATGGAGCAGAATCCCCTCCCTCGACCTACTGGCCACATTGCTTTTGATGCAGCCCAGGACATGGTTGACTCTCTGGGATGCCAGTGCACATTGCTGGGTCATGTTGAGCTTTTCATCTACCGACACCCTCAAGCCCATCTCTACAGGGGGCTGCTCCCAGTCCACTTATTGTCCAGACTGTATCTATGTTTGGAATTGCCCCGACTCAGGTGCAGGACCTTGCACTTGGCCTTATTGAACTTAGTAAGATTCACACAGGCCCACTTCTCAAGCTTGTCAAGGTCCCTCTGGGTGGCATCCATTCTTTCTAGAGTATCCAACAGCTTGGTGTTGTCAGCAAACTTCATGAGGGTACACTCAATCCGACTGTCCATGTTGCTGACAAGGATGTTAAATAATACTCATTGCAGTATGGATCTCTGAGGGTCCCAAGTCATCACTGTTTTCCACCTGGCATCAGGCTGTTGGCTGCAACTCTCTGACTGCAGCCACTTCTTTATCCACTGAGCATTCCACCCGTTAAATCCATGTCTCTCCAGTGTAGGAGGTAGTGGTAGTGTGGGACAGTATCAAATGCTTTGCACAAGGCGAGAGAGATTGTGTCAGTCATTCTTCCCCCATCCATAAATGCTGTAACCCCATCATAGAAGGCCACCAAACTGGGCAGGCATGATTTGCACTTCACAAAGCCATGTTGGTTGTCACCAATCACCTCCCTGTCCTCCATATGCCTCAGCATAGTTTGCAGGAGGATCTGCTTCATGATCTTGCCAGGCACTGAGGTGAGAATGATTGGCCTATAGTTCCCCAAGTCTTCATTTTTTTATCTTTTTTAAAAATGGGGGTTATAAATGCCTTTTCCAGTCATTGGGAACTTTACCAGTTCAAGTGAAGGAGTATCTCATTTAACCATTACTAATCTCCTTGTTTGGCCTGATAGCACCATCACTTTCTCTTGGGACTGCCAGTTTATTTGTAACTGAGCAAGATCCATCTGTCTTGTGTAAAGAAAGCTAAAGTAGATTGTGGTTTTTTGTCACTCATTAAGTATACCTAGTAAAGCTCCTTTCATTGCTGGATACCTAGTATTCTAGAATTGTCCTTGAAGTATTTATAGTGATCTTCAATTCTACTCAAAATTTACAGTATCATAATTATCCAAAGTGTTCACAGCACAACACACCATTAGAGCTGTTATTGCTACTTCATGCAACCATTCCCAAACAATACAAAATATAGGAGAGAATTACCTGTAACAGTAACCCACACTAGATACAGGCATGTCTGAAAAAGTGAGTTTTATAAAGTGCAAAAATACTCAACAGGTATCTAGACAATTGATATTTAAGGCCTAAATAATCCACATGGATTAAGTTTCACATATAACACTTCTAAGCTTTGTTACAAGGGACCTAAAGGTAAAGTGATAGTTTTCTTGTGCGTTTAATATACTGAGACAGGCATAATTTTTATACACTATGCTTTCTAGTACATGTAACTTCAAGCTAAAGGAATTTTCATTAACAGTAAATATTATTTTTCCTCTCTGCTATATTTCCTCTTCTTCCTTCCCCCCACAGTTTATGTTATGATCTCCACTCATGATAATGTTAAAGAAGAGGTAAGAAACTTCTATGGATAGGAAACTCTATCCCTTTACCTGAAGTGGTTGTAGTAGCAGTAGTAGTAGTAGTAGTCGTCGTAGTAGTAGTAAAAGTACTAAAACGTTAGTTATAGTGGGATATAAGGAGAAAAAAATTAACTAAGACATTAGGCTTTATAATAATACAGTTAACCTAGGCAACTAAAATGGAAATCTCATGGGACTGTTGCCTTCTGCCCATCCTTGCTGCTACCCTGTGATATCAGCATAAAATTTCTCTGAAGTTTTTCAGCTTGATGATCTTGATCTTACATTACTGCATGATTTTGATCTTATATTCCTATCATATAAAAAATTCTCACAGAAAGAAGGAACATCAATCTGATATTAAGGAATATCAGATTGGTTCAGATATTTCTCGTTATGAAATCAAGGCATTTCATTTACACATTTAAAATTGATTTTTGGCAAGACATCAGTTCTACAGAGGAGTCTTGGCTATTGAACAATAGTGAATAAAGGATTCCACACATTTTCCCATCTGCTTTTCTAATTGTTAAAATAAAAATAACAACTCTGAATGGGAATGAAGTGTTATTTCATTGGTCCTCACAACAAACATTTTTGGTGTTGTTAATTTAAAATTTCTCGATCTGAAATCTCCCTCAGTGCTAATGACATCTTGCAAACTTTATTTTCTTGAGATTGATCTTCAATAATAGAGGTGCTAATTGACAGAAGCTTAAACATGTCCTGTGCCTTTGTATTATCACAGTGTAACAGAGGTGATTGGGCCATGTTCCCAGAAGATCCTGTTATTAGCTGATGAGCAGTGGTACCAGGTCCCTCTTCCTCCTGGCAGAAGAACAAACAGAGATGCAGAATACCCTCTGTGTTCTTCTCCTAAATTGCTGACAGTGTTTGGATTAATAGCTGCAAGGCCATTACTTCAGGATTCTTAGTTCACAGCAATTACACACTTAACAAATAGCCAAGCAACATCTGGAAATGAAAATAAGTATTATTTACAGGCTATCCACGTAAATTAAAAATCAACTAAATAAACTGAAGATGGTATGCCAATAGCCTCAAAGCATTGTCTTGACCAGTAACCTTGGCCTCTTGATACTTTTATAGTAACTAGTAGATGTATCAAGATTAAATGGGTAAG